AATGGGGTTCCTTCACTGATGGTTCCAAAATAAGAAAGCAACCTTCCCACCCAAATCCTACTGGGGTAACCTTTGGTCTGTTTTCTCACTTCTCTGTTCTCCTTACCTGGAAGAACTTTCCTTGTCTAACTAAAATGTTAGGGCTTCAATTAGATATCTGTGCCCTCAGAGAGATGGGGTACCTCATTTATCTTTGCCCAACTCTGTTTTGATTTAATTTAAATTGCACATTCTACTGGTTAAAAGGTGTAATATATTCTTGTACATGAATTTCCCTACTGTGATAAAATGCTTACATGTAAATCAGTATAAATGATAGGCCATTTATAAATTAATTAAAGTGTTTAAAGGGATAATTTATACTTAAGAAAATTTTGCAGATCATATAAAAATATGTTTGGGTTTAATTGTTTTATTTTGCATATGTCATATGAGAAAGACAGATTTCTTCTTAACTGACTTCAGGTCTCAGCATGGAAAGTCACTAGGTAAGTTCTAATTCTTTCTTTTGTTGAGAGAACAGAGATATTTTACTGTGTTTGTCCAAAATTAGGTAGAAGGTGGGGTAGAGTGGGACCTCTAGACAAGTTAATCTATAAAGTGCCATTCTTCCAAACCTTCTGGCTAAGGAGGTAGGTATCTCCACACAGGTCCCTCTTGCTTTAGCATTCAGCTTATAGATCATAGAATCAGCGGGCACATCTACATAAGATGATAGAATAGTAGTAGATTAATTCTACTGTGCATAAGTGCATCACAGCAAAAGCCATGCTAATGCGCCGATGCACAATAGAATTACTGTACTGCGCATTAGTCTCACCTAAAAGACCTGCACCAGTGCTACCTTGCAGTAGTGCCAATTACGGCACATTAAGTTAGTACCTGTTATTACAGATACTAAACTTACTGAGCTGTAATTATGGCACATGAATGCATGTGTAGAGGTCCCTATAGAGAATAAAGCTGGGAGGTCATCTGTATCTAACCAATCCTGAGAAATGTGTGTCCAACTTGCTCTTAAAGGGTTCCAATAATGGAGATTCCACAATCTCCCTTGCTAGTCTCCTCCAGCTTTTAACGAGTCTTAGAGTTAGAAAAATTATTTGTTTTTTTAGCTCTCACCAACATCATCTTTGCTGCAATTTAAGCCCTTTTTTTCCCTACCCCCAAAGGGCATGGAAAACAGCTCATTACTTCCCTCTTTGAGGCAACCTTATATATCTTTAAAGACCAATTATGCCTCTGTCTTTTCTTCTTTAGGCTAAACAGACCTAATTCTTTCAATTTTCCTCAGAGTCATGCTTTCTGAACAACTAGAGGAACCTACCAGAGACCTGAGGTCACCTATGCCATTGGGTGACTGAACATGTTTGTCTTCTCTTCCTACCAGAGATATGTCTTCCACCCGTTTCTTATCCCTCCAATCTACAAATCTGATCACAAAAGACAGCTTCTTTGTTCTTGCTGGAGCAGTCCTTTGTGGTTCTTCAGGTCTACCTCTTGTAATACGTAAGATCAGGAGATGTAAAGAAGAATTGTTGCTTTCATTAAAAGAAGAAAAGTTACGAACTTGTCTTTAGGAAGATTGCATTGAAAGTGTAATTGATACAAACCAATCACTTGGATTGAAAGCTTGTCAGTGATTTTTCCATGTAGATTATAGAATGCTCAAAGCCATATAGTGCTGGGCTGTGCACTCCAAGAAGGAAAGGAAGAAATATTTAGATCCTCAGTATTTTTAGGAAAACTCCAGATTAATTTCATATTTATGGGGGGCAAGGGGGCAGTACCATCTAAGCTACCACTGATGGTATGAGTGCTGCCAGGAACTCCTTGCCAGCTGCCTGTGACTGAGCCAGATCCTTTTCTGAGCAGTTGATGTGACCTCTGGACACAAGGAAGGACAATTTATTAGCAAATCAAGCAGCAAAGTGTGAGGAATTGAACAAGGGACTGACAGGGACATGCTCTGTGAACTTTGTTAAATTGTATCAGTCAGCTTTTTCAAATTTAGTTGCCCGGACCTTGGCTGCCTATACCAGGTATATGAATGTAGGCACCTAACTTATACATTCAGTTCTGAAAATGCTGGCCTTAAGTGATCACTGTGCCTCACTTCCCATGACTATAAAATGGGGATAATAATATAATGCCTCAGAACTAATTAATGTTTGATTAATAGGTCCAAAATCTTACCAGAGTAGAAGGAAACCCTGTACTGGTTGGGGATCTAATGGTCTCCAGAACTTTAGTCAACTATTTGGCAGTTGGAGGCAGTGGGTGAGGGACCAGAATGAAAGATCCCGTCAAGGCTTTTTACTTGAATGAACGTTATTTTTATTTGAATACTGGTCAGGTTTGTTAGGTAAGGAGTAGGGAGGAGAAACCTGTCCTCAGCCCCCTTCCCATGAGACACATTTTTTCTACAGTCCTCCATTTACATTCTTCTCTCTGGCACTGGCCTTCTAGCTTGCCTTCTGCTGCACTTATTCTTTTTTTCACATCCCCTTCAACCTAGTGCTCTGACACAATCTAGTGCTGCAGATAGTGAGAAGTAAGGAAAGCAGCTTTTACCTTGAGGCAATAGCCACTCTTGCTGCACAGGTACAAATGCCCTGCTTATAAGCTCGCTGTTCAGAGCTGGGGTCAGAGTTTCAGACCTCCTTCACACTACTCTGTATACTGTGGGAGGGAAGGGCTGGCTTTCGGGTGGTGCATACTGGGAAGTATTGTGGATGGCAGGTTGCAGCTACATTGCTGAAAAGTGAGTGTTTCAGGTAGCAGGTCTGCTGCTGGCTTTAAAAAAAATATGATACTTATTTCTAATGCCTAGGAGCCCCAGTCTTGGAACAGGACTCTATTTTGTTAGGTGCTGTACAAACACGTAACAAAAAGGCAGTCCCTGCCCCCAAATTGCTGACTGTCTTTTGGAGTTTATAGAAAACCAGGTCCAAATACTTATATAAAATCATGAGAAATGAAATGAAAATGGAGACATTCTTGCTTTGCAGGAGCACTTGACTTCTGTATTTATTTATGAAGTCTGAGATTCAGTTATATTAATGCAATGTGAGGTTTGAGCATGAGGGACACAAGTAAGGTTTGCTGTTGCTTTGCTTGGGGAGGAGTCAGTTGTGATGAGAGAGGGAAGAGAAGGGTCCAGGGGAAACCCCCCCCAGATGTTTGGCAGGCAAACAAGCCAAAGAAAAAAATCCCCAAGGCTGAGCATGACCAGAAGGTCATGCTCAGCCTTGGGGATTTTTTTCATTGGCTTGTAGTCTGCACAAGTAGTACAAGTAGTGAAGTAGTCGGTGAGCCAGGAGAAGTGGTCTACCTTGAATTCACATCCTCAGAAGCATCCCATGTCCCAGTGGGGCATCGTGAAGGACATTGCAGCCAGGTGAGGAGGAGAAAATAAAAGAACCCTATTCCAGTGAGGTCTACTGGTTAAGGAGTGGGCTTCCTTTTTCTCTTCTGTTCCCAGGTTAAGCAGACGGCAGGCAGGACAGGATGGTAACCCCCTCTCTCTCCCTTCCCTTGCACCCCTCCTCCTGAAAAGGGCATTGCTGTTTCCTGAGTTAAGAGTTCTCTTCTTCCAGCAAATACCTTATGCTAAATATTTTGTGTTCTAACCTGCCACATAGCTGGGACTGTTTGGTTGAAGTGCCTCCTTCCCTCTCCTCCCCCAGTCCTTTGCCTCTGTTGAACCCCTAGCACAGTTTGTTCTCCCCACCCCCAACCCAACTTCCTTCCCCTTAGAAATAAATACCCTTGCTTGCAGACTTCTATTATCTATCTCCCATCTTATCGACCCCCTTCCCTCCAACTCCCTGGATGGGGTGCCAGGCTGGGGGTTTTTTCCCCTGTCTGGCAAGCAGATGGGTTACATTTCACCCCAAGTATAAAAGTGGCAGAGTGTGACCAGTATGTTAAGCTGCAGCAAGGGGAAAGCAGCCCAGACAGACTAGGTGAGAGGGGGGAAGGGGAGGAGGGCAGGCAGAGACTGCAGTGACACTGCCTTCCCTGGGCTGGCTGAAGCATCTCACTGGTGACAGGCCTGGAAGCACGTGGCTACGTCATGGAAAGCCAGTCTTTCAATGCAAATTTCAACTCCTCCTACTCCATCTAATGCCTGTAACTCACATCCAAGGCTCAGGAGCGAAATCCAGGGGGGGATATTTTCCTAATGCACAGCGGTGTTGGAAGCAGCGAGAGTGAGAAGAAGGGAAGAGCTCTACTTCTCTCCCCACGTACTGTAATCTTGCTAAGGGCTAGATTTTCATCTGCTCTGCAGGGTGATTGAGAACTGCAGGTGCAATAAGATTACACAGATCACTGGGATTTGATGGGAAAATCACCACTCTGAAAGGGAAGTATCTCTCTTCATCAATCAGACTTGATCAGGGTGGTCGTGTTGGTCGTGTGTTTTCTCTCCTAGGGGGCTGCACAATGGCAGTCTTTCAGTAGGATGAATCCTGCCTTGGCTTTTGTTCTGCAGATCCACCCATCCTCCTAGCGATCAAGTAACAGGCTATGGTTTCCTCTTTGGGGATCTTTCGTGTTTTACTGTTGTCTCTGCTTAGTTTTCGGCTTCAGCTGGGATTTCTTTTCCTTACTTTTCGTTGGGCTTCATGCTGAAAACCCCCCCAGGATTTTTTCACGCTTTTGGTAATAATCCAATGTTGATCTAGGGGGGATAACCATTCATCCTGGCTTAAAAAAGCATCCACTGAGAAGTCTCAAAGAAATACACCACGTGAGGGACAAAAAAACCCCCCCAAACCCAAACAAACTGGGAGAAGATCGGAATATAATCATTTTTTTCTATGGTAAAACTGGTGTCCCTCTTCAGGAGAACTGATCTCAATTTCTTATTATGCAACCACAAGGATCTCTTTTTTCTCAGGGTGTATAAGCTGCTGGATTGCTTTTCGCCCAAATCAATGTGGTTTCTTTGGAACATTTTCAGCAAAGGATCGCATATGCTGCAGTGTCTTTGTGGCAAGAGTCTCAAGAAAAACAAGAACCCAACTGGTAAGCAAGGCATGGCATCGCATTGTTTTTTTCTTTTCCCGATAGTCTTGTCTGTTGCTCAGCGAGGTAGAGCTCTGCAATCCTGCCGAGGGGGGGAAAGGGGAAGAGGAGGAGGCCGGCTCGGACATGCATGTGCGTACGTGTATGAATAAGCAAGGAGCAGTTTGGATCGGCTTCAGCCACTGTGTGCGCGCGTGTGTTACGGAGGCGGGGGGATGCGATCTGCGATCTCCCAGTTCCTCGATGCGGTTTCCAGAGAGGAGGAAACTTTTATTGCGTTGCCCTTTGGAAGGGGAAGGAGAGGTGGCGGGGCGGCCTCTACCCCATGCAGGTGCGCGGGGTGTGAGGCAGAGTGTCCGGGCTCTCCCCCCTCTCGCCGCGCAGGACCTGCCCGGGACTTTCTGAGGACCTGGCACAAGGGAAAACAACCCCCTGCGCCCCCGGCCCTGCCTTGTGGCACTGGTTTGTTTGTTGGGGGGGGCTTGCGTGCGACGGGAAACTAAGCCAAAGTGGCCCTGGCAAGTAGCAGCAGAGGCTTCCCGGGGAGCACCCCGCCGTCCCCTCTGCCTCTCGGCGCCGCGGGGCGGCTGCTCCCGCTGGCCCCGGCGGGGGAAACTTGCAGCGCGTTACATAAGGGATGGAAATGCAGGGGCTCGGGGCAGTGTGTGTGTACATAAACACAGCATAACATCTCTGTGAGGAATGAAAAGTGGCCTTTTTTGCAGTGTGTGTGTGTGTTTGTAGAGCCCCGGGTCACTTGGGTGTCCCCCCCACGCTGGCCAAGGCAAACGGGAGGGAGAGGGGGATGCAGAGGCGACACCTCCATCCCTGACACAGGCAGCCTCTCGGACACACACGCACACACACGTACACACTCGCTCTCTAATTTGATACCCCCCAAGGCTTTTCTTGCTTTCCACGATCGCTTCTTGCTCCCCACCCCCACCCCAGCTCCCCTGGCCTGCCGGGCTGTCTGCAGTGAGCCCGACATGCCAGAGCTGTTGGGAGCTCGGCGGAGCAGGCGTGCGGGGCGTGGCGGGGTGTGAGGTGTGTGTGTGTGCGCCCCAAGGGGTGTAGAGGAGACACCTCCACCCCCGGCAGAGGCGGTGTGTGTGTGTCCCTGGGGATGCTGGGGCTGCGTGCGGTCTGTGTGTATGTGTGCGTGCGCTCCTGGGGGTGCAGAGGCAACACCTCCACCCCGGGCAGAGGCGGTGTGTGTGTGTGTGTCCCTGGGGCTGCTGGGCCCGTGTGTGTATGTGTGTGCGCGCGCGCGCGCTGCCCGCCCTGCAGTGCCAGCTCCCGAGCAGGAGGCTCCTGACGCTGGCACTGCAGTGTAGTAGATCATGGGCTTCCGCTGCCTCGCTGACACCCCCAGCCCTGCGCGGCGGCCCGGCCCCGTCCTCCCCGCTCCGGGGTCGGGGGACAAAGGGCAGTGGCAGGCGGCGACACCTGCCCCGGGTAGCGCCCGGCCACGGGCCCCCCACAGGCGCAGCCCTCAGGGGAGCAGGGCCGGGGGCGTGTGGCCCGGGGCAGAGCCAGCCCTGCCCGCCCCAGACGCGGCTCATTCGGACACGTCTGCGGCGAGTTGCTCCTGCCCCCTCACAGGCGCTTGCTGCTGCTAGAGACCCGGCTCCACGCGAGCCCGGCTCCTGGCTGAGGCAGGGACCCGGCGCCGAGGAGGCTGGGGCAGGGCTCAGGTCCGTGCCCCGTGCCCGCACTCCCTGCCCTGGCGGAGCGGGGCAGCTCCGGGCCGGCAGGGCCAGCCAGTGCCATTTGTCCCGCGCTTCAGTCCCGCGTTGGAGCTGCCGCGTCTCAGACCGGCCGGCTCTCCAGTCTCCTGCAAGCTTTTGGGACCAAAAAAGACTCGACCTCCTTTGTGACAGTCCCTGTGAAACCACGATCAGCTACTAACAAACACTGGCCTGGTCGATTGGATGAGCTGAGACTGTGGTAACAGATGCGGCTGAGATGCAACTCTAGTGCTGGGCAGTGACTACGTTTATATGTGTGGGGTGTCTCCCCTACCCCCGTTGGCTTTCTTTTTTCTCCCTGGCAGGGCAGTGATTTGTTCACATCTTGCTTGCCTCTACGCCAGTGTTCCCAGGTGTTTCCACAGCAGTCTTCACTTGCCCCCTTCACTGGAAACCTATTGTGTCTTGTATAGGAAGGACGAGAAGCCCCTGCATTGCAAAGCATAGGTTTACTGCCCGGTCCTCAAATGGACTCAGCTGCAGTTTCCAGTGAAGGGCAGAGTTTAGGTTCAAAAGAGCAGTTTGTGATATTTCTGTGTTAATCGCTAGTAACCCCACCAGGAATGCTTGAGGGATGAGGATTTGTCTGTTTTAATTCTGCATTTTTGTCACTCAAGCAATTTATCTTTAAGAGAAGCTATGTTTCCTGAAATGCAGACGGGCTGGCACATTTTTAGACAGTGGATTCTGTTTCTCCCCCCCTTTTATTTTCAGCTTTTTTTCTTTCCCTTATGAAGCCTGCCCTCCTAGCTTTCTCCAGATCCCAGCCTCCTCTGCTTATCCTTTCTTGCTGAGTTCTGAAGCTAACCCTGACATAGCTATTGCACCCTGTGTTACTTCAGAGAAAGGCAATATTAGTACAGGAAAGCCCTGGCAGTTATAGAGAAGTAGGGCTGGAAGGGACCTCTGGAGGATGATACCAAGGCAAGATCATCTTATTCAAACCATCCTCTAAACTCTACATAAGACTGCTGTCAACCCTGACAACATAGACTTAACACCTTAACCTGCCACAGGTAAAGCAGGGGAACCATGGCAGCCAAGGGGGAGTTATAAAATCATGTCAATTTTACTTCAGGAAGTTTTAGCTTATTTCTAACAGAAGCCTGGCTGGTCAGAAGCCCTTTCTCTTTCAAAACATGGACCTGGGGAAGAGGAATTGTGTTTGATCCCTAAAATTGCTTTGTTATTTACTTCATATTTCTTTGTAACAAAAGAAAATTTAAAAGCGAATGAGATGCATTATTATTTATATTTCAAAAAGATTTTCTTTATATAGTTTTGTTAAACGTGGTATATATAAAAAACAAAAACAAAATTACAAAGTAACTGAAAACAAAATTAAGGAGGTGAAATTTGCAGTTTTTAGGTCCCCAAGGCCCTATTCTGCACGACAGCCACGCTAGTCATTTCCACCTAGACACAGGGTGTGGAAGTATACTGAGCTGTCCACATCAAAGTGCAGGGCAACAGAGGATTGTTTCTTACAGGGCATTTTATATTAAAACTGCCCATTGACTTAAGTGGACTTAGGTTTGGGCCTGTATTTGGTTTAGGAATGCATAGGTTATGGAATTACTTTAAGGCTAAGATCAACTGACAGAAAGACAATATTCAAACACCTAGACTTTTAATTCAAATTTAGCTCAAACTGTTAGAGACTAAAATTTATTACCATATGTTAGCCTGTGGGAGATGTATTGGACATCTCAGTCCATTTCCTATGGACAGGTGTTACAATCACAGAAATTACCACTGTGCTTGGCACCCTTGTTCTCACTCTAGGAGATAGAGGATTATTACAATTTCTTCTCAGATGCTGTCTAAGAAAAAAACTTCCCTCTAGGTTAAAGGACTATTGACTGGACAACATGTAAAAGATGGCTTTGTGGTTATACAAACTACAAATATTTTGTGTACACTATGGTTTAGTTTTCATTAGTATCAATCCAGTACCATTTGCAAATCCAAAACACTTAAAAGAAAAAAGGTTCCAGATCTAGCATTCTCTCTCTCAAATGGGATCAGTGTGTAATCTCTTGATAACTTCTGTCTCCATTTCCCAGTAACGGAGTAGACAGGCTGTTCTTTAATGGTTATGTATCGCTCTGACAAAATTGCAAATGTAAGCAAGAAAAAAAATTGAACCATTTGAAAAAGAGACATAGACTCCACATTTTCTGGTTGCATTGCATGCCATTGTTTGCGTTAAATAAGTTAGGACCGATGCTACCTTCCTTACTCATGGAAAACAAACCCTCCACCAGAAGTCAAAGGACATTTTGCCTGAGTAAAACTTGCAGGATTGGGCCTTTAGAGTTTCTCTCACATGAGACTGAAAAGCAGCTTTACTGCTTAAATGCCACATAATACTACGCTGTTATTAGATGCACAGTATGTTTGTTTTTTTTCTTCAAGATTACTCAAATGTAAAATGGTCTATTTACATGCATCTCACCTACTGAAGCTTTTGCTCTCCATGGAATATATTTTCTGAATTTATACAAATTTAATTATTCCTTGATCAAATTAAATTGCATATTGCACTTGTTAAAGGGTGAAATGTATTCCTGCTCATGGATCTCCCTACTGTGATACACATGTTTATACCTAGTTCAGTACCAGTTAATGAGGGGCCATTTATAGATAGATTAAAACATATTAAAGATAATTTAGAGTTAGGGGAGAATGTATGTAGAAATATTATTGGTCTCATTTTTTTAATTGTGAAGTTTTCATTTGAGGGTGATACTTTTTCTGTTATCTATATGTATATTAGGTCTCTCCATTTGGGGCTAAAAATTTCCATTGAACCCAGAGCTGAGAGAGAATTTCGCCCTTGACAAAGATATGATATTCACTGAGTCCTTGTAAAAATATAAACTGAGAAAATGAGAGATGCTGTTGAATATTAAAGTTTTTGTTTTTAGGACAATCTCCCTAATTTTTCTTTTAAAAAGTAATAAGATCTGCTCAAAAGATAAAAAGTCCCATGTGTTACAGTTTATTGCCTTTAATCTAGACACACAGAATGGTGTGTTGCAGGAGGTTGTCAGGTCACAGAGTGTGCCTGGATTCAGAAGGTTCCCCTGTGCTGCATTGTTAAAACTGTTAGCGAATTCTAAGGCAAAGGCCATCTGAAATAGGGGTTGGATGAGGATGTTCTTACTGCTTAAGTATCAGGAGACTTGTTTCTATACTTGATTTGGTCCGCTGTTCTCTTTGTGACTTTGTATTCTGTGCCTCATT